TACATAACCAAATAGCTTTCTGCTAAGCTTTTAAAGCACGGTCAATATTTTTACTCTTTGCAAAAAATTCATTGCCAATGGTAAATTGCCACGTGAGCTAACACTGCTTTGTTTGTTTGCATTTTTTATTTCAAGAAAGGACTATGAACTGGTGCAGTAACAATAAAGAAATCAGAGAAAATTCCCCTGGACACAACAGAAATCTGAAGAATAGTGTGTGTAGGAATGAAACACCGACTCCTGCAACACACAAGATGAATTCACAGCCTATTGCTGACCATGTAACTCCTTGTTGTTATCTGACTAGTAATTTAAGCATTGCAGATAAGATTAGCCTTACTAGTATTTATTTTTCACTAAGGTTGTGAGATACAGGAGAAGACACAAAAATGATAAATGGGCGAAAGAGGAACACAGATGACTAGAAAGATCATCCATATGCAGCATAGATAGGTTGAACAGTTACAACAGAATAATTTGTGGATGGCTCCAAGTAGAAAATAAGTTGCATGCATACATATTCAGCCATTATTGCTTGCTGGTAATTTGCATGAAGAATTAAGGAATAGCAGATTCATTAAATGTATTTTAAATGGAACCTTGTCCATGAAACATGGTTATGAAATAAAGACTTCCATTTTGTCTAAGCAACACAGGAAAGGAGTTACTAGAAATTAAGCTTCTTTCCCAACAGGCTTTCCCACTATGTCAACTTAAAAAAAAAAATTCAGGGATAACTTCTGGAAGTAATACGGAACAGATTGGCAGAGAGCCTTGTTGCAGAAAAAGAGCAAGGAAGGTGGAGCTTTCTGACATTTGGTCTCAAATTTCTGTAAACTTTGCAGAAGAAATAATAGTCACCATTGAAGGTGCAAGCAAAGGGTGACCGAAATCACATGGTTTCCCCACGAGATACCAAAATCAGATTAAGGCCTCACTGGAGAAAGATTAGTGGGAGAAGCAGAAGAAACTTAAACAATACTAACCCTCTAAGTCTAAAAGTGGGGAGAAAAAAAAAAAATATATAAATGTTCCCCCAAAGGTGCAAAGATTAAATTACTGTCACATAATCTCTTAATGCCTTCCATTTTTTAATTCCAAAATAAAAAAGTAGTGAGACTTCGGTGGATAACAGAAATCGAGCCATAGAACTCACTGAAGGCCTGATCTACTTGGCTCTCTACTTTTTCCCAAACTTCATAAGAACATCTCACACAAGGAAGGAATAAATCTGCTCTGTGCCCATGAACTTGTTCAAGCTGTGAGATACAAGAAATAGAGGGCCACGTGTGTTCTGATACAAATTCTGGCAGTATGGCTCAAAGACCTAAAAGCTAACTCTATACTGACAGAAAACGCGAATCTTCGGATCAGAATGATTTTGACCATGCTAATCTGGCACCATCTTGCCTTAATCTTCTGGACACCTTCAAAAAAAGCAGAACTAGATAGCAGATGTTCAATAGGCAACCGATTCACAACTGGGGAATAAAAACTTCAGGGCCAGATGAGTTCTAGAAGGGTGAACTTCTATTTGTTGTTTTTTCACCGCAAAGTTGACTATGGATTTGAAAACCCCAGTCCCACTAAAGACAGTCTTTGTAATATCCTCTGAGATTTCCCATTTACAGGAGTCTGGCATATGGAGTACCATAAGTAACCTTCACCATCTAAGCCCAGCTTGGAAAAAAGTGTTCTCTACTACTGTAGCATCCTTAGCCTTCAGGTGCCTGAAAATAACTGCAGAGAAGGTATTATGTACATATTCAGTTGTTTGGGGCTCACCATGAAGAAAAAGAGAAGTGAGATCCATAAAGAACCTAACTGTTGTACTCATTTATCATTAGAAGTACAAATATCTGAAGCCTCGGAACAGCAAAGACTTCCAAGAAAAGAAAATTGTACTGGTAGTAGTTCTGGTCTATGATATAAGCCAGGAAAATCTCTTTATGGAAACCAGTGTCTTGAAGATCAAGAGACATGAAATAATCCTCCCTGCTGAAGTGAAGGTATTATCACCACTAACGTTCTCGTCCTAAAATCATATTAGTGATTAAAGATCTTTAGCTTCTTAAAGAGATGTCTCTATCCTCCACACCTATCAGGACTAGCTCTGTAAAATCTGGACCCTTCGCTCTAAGACGAACGGCTCTATAAATGATAAAGGTAAATGAACATCTCCCTTCTCAATAAAGTTCAGCCTCCTGGCAAGGGCTTTTGAAAAGAGGTGGGGAAGAAGGCTTGAGGAATAGGCTAGGAAGAGTGATTGCTGTAACCATGGTGTTCAACACTATGCTGTTTAGGATGATATGGATTCAGATCAACAACCTGAATCCAAAGAAAAAGAAAGAGATTTAGAAGGATTCATGTCTCTTACCACTCCTTGAAAAGTACTGGGATGACTACTGTAAGGAATGGAGGAATGTGTGCAAAGCTGAGTTTTGAGGATAATTAGTCAAGATATTCAGAAAGAGGAGCCAAAGTGGTAGCATTTCAGATCTGTAATTTGGCTTCTCTCAGAATGCTATTGTGAAACTTCCTGGTTATGTCAGTGTGGGTACAGAGTCTCTAAGAGACTGAAGTACTTGGCCAGTTAGCTCAGAGACAGTCTCCCCCCGACGGACAATCTTCAGTTGTGGCTTGCAGTTCACAGGCCATTCAGAGCTGCAAGGCCAAAATAGTCTTCCTCAGAAAGTAAGACACAATATGCTACTTTACATAGCCTCTTACAACTTGAAAGAAAAAAATAAGTACCAAAAAATGTAATTTATTTATCTTCATCTTCCAAAGCATGAAATCCACCTAAAGTCAGATATTGGACTTCAAACAGCAGAGCGTGTTAATGTACTATTCTTACTTGAAGGTTTAGAAAAAAAGTAATTATTCCCCCCTTTACAACCAAATGTTTAAAGCCCTTGCCAAAAGAAGCAGAGTGAGACTGTTAAAAATGTGCCAGAACCACAATAACAAAAATGGGAGTCAGTGGAGGGTGAGTAAAAATGAAAATCCAAACCACCTGCTGATACTTGGTAGCATCTGTCACTGTACAGGAAGCAGGAGCACATGAAGGCAACGCTTGCCAAAGCCCTTGAGCTGGGAGCAGTATGGCTTCACTCATCGACCTCATTGTATCAGCTCACATGGATCCCACAGAATATCAAAAAAATTTTGGGAAATCTTTACAGAGTTCTATAGAGTACTCAACTGTCCTCTGTTGTGACCTTTAAAGGTTTTGTAGAGGTTGATGTAAATGTTCATCCTCAAACAAAAAGCAGAAGCAGCTCTCATTCATGATGCCACTAAGATGTTCAAGAACAAGGAGTGGTTTGCACTTTCGACCTTCATATAGGTAGGGGATATGGTAGTCTCCTGAGGTGACATCTTTGGGGTGAAGATAAGAGGGCATTGGGGAGGCACAAGTTCCTTCTTGTCATCAGCTAAGACTACTTACTGGAGAATGACACGCAAGAGACATGATCATCCCAAGAGCTGATGCCTTTCCTATAATGATGTTTCTTAGGTCAGAAACTAAAGATAAATCCTCCTTCCTAGAAGAGGGTGGATACTGAGCCAAAGGTAATAATCCCATAAGCAAAGGGTGTTTACAAGATTACTGAAAAGCTCTTTAGTCTTGTCTTTTGGTCTTTATGAGTAAAAATTTAAGGCTGATTCAACCCGCTTAGAGGGAGATAAGTAAACAGTGATTTGGTGCAAGCATGGATATAGACCAGAAATACCAGCCATTATTTCCTACAACCTTTATAAAGACAATAGAGAAAAGATGTATCAGTAAAGGCAGAAACTCTCATGAAGCTCCAGCCTCAGCTGAGGGACACAGTGAGTTGGGGCAGACCCTGAAATATCACAAAGGTGATGATGAGATCTGGTGACAAGAGCACCAAGAAAAAGCTCAGAACGTTGTGATGATTTTGTGATTGTGCAGATATGCTCCATTTTTCCTTCGGCTATAGCAAATGTTCCCTCCTTACTGCCAGAACAGGCAGCGTAATCAGAAAACATGCATCTCAAGTACCCTCTCTGGGTGTAAGGAATCAAAGCATCAGGCAGGATATCTAAAGCTTTTCTCTTTATTATGAATGGAGCTAGAGTGAGACCTGGATTTCTTCTCCCTGGATGATGGTGGAAATCTGGTCTCTTGAATCTGAGGCTCAGGAAAAGGGTCAAAGATGAATTTTATATATTTTCTTGGGAATAACTTTCTCAATCTGTAGTTGAAGTCTCAATACATAGAATACTTAGACAGAATAAAAACTTCACCCAGACAAAACAGGAAGTCAATACTTTCATCTCAGAGAGCATAAAGTCAAAAATCTTGTTGAAGAATTCCTAGGTGTGGAAGCTATGCTGTCCCATCACAATCTAAATCTGAGCTCGTAACAAAAAAGGATGTCTAAATAACTTGAAAATATTTTAAAAATTATAAATAATCAAATAGAGTAGAGTATTAAGTAAAAGAGAAGGTCCAGATGAATATTCAGTAAAGAACAGTTAATCATAAAGAACTATGGTTCAGACACATGTGGAAATGAACGCTAGGTGACAGGCTGTACTCCAGCGCTTACACCACGCCCATAAGTCCAACAGGTTGATTAGGCGAACAAGTTTCTAGTTCAAAAGATTGCACAGCTGTACATTCAAAATATGCAGAACAGCACTTGATGGTAAATACGAGATGACAATGTGTGAATGCAGAATTCATTCCTTCACCTCCAATTTATGCTTTTTGATTTCTTCAAGACTTCATCCCACACCAATTCCTTAGAATTCTTAAAGATGTGAACAGAAAGACTTGAGGAATAATAGTTTTTATATACACACATACACACAGGGATAGATCACACATATTATTATATTATTATGTAATTCTATATCACACAAACATGCATATAAAAGACCACATTCAACTTCATTAATATTTCTGGATGAAAAGTTGCCTCTTTTAAGTGCTACCATAATTTCCAAAAACCGTACTTTCATACCTTTGCGTATGCAGTAGTTTTGATAAACCACTGTTTGAGGTATTTCTGTTCCACTTTTGCTCCTGAACGCCATGAGCAACCGTTGTCATCCACCTGTTCATTAGCTAGAACAGTCTGATCCACTGGATCCCAATTAACCAAGGCCTAAGAAAAGTTGCAGGAAGAAAATATACTTTCAGCAGGTATTTCAAAGCCAGAATCTCACTTTACAGACACCAAAAGAATTATCCAGAAACATTCCTTGCCCCCCCTGCGTTTTCTACATTTTCATAACATCCATTTGAATCAGCAACATGGACTCAACTGATGATGTTTTGAATATTCATTTTGTCAGAACTCAAAAACCCCCAGTTGGCAGCATTTGTCTTGATTGATCATGCTAGTGGGATAGGCTGACACTTAAATATTAAATAGGTAAGTGTTCCAACAGACTGTACTGCAAACTACGTAGTCTGATGCTTAAAAGCTGTCCATTACTAATCCAAAAGCATCGAGTCAGACTGAGGGGGATGAATAACCAAGGATCTCCAACATGAGAGGACAGACTCACAAAGAAGTATTATAATGGTCAACTATATTTCAACTGAAAGAGTTGGTATTTTCTGCACATAACTTCTGTCAGCAGTGTGAATTACTTTTGGAATTATCTTTCCTTATCAATACAAATACCTTAAAGAAAATTTGAAGTGAAATGAATGTTGGTGTTCAACTCTACAACCGTTGGGTTTTGAGGGCTGACTCAAAGACCAGACATAGCATACTGGGGAGGGGGCAAATATCAAACTCCCTCCCCCCCCACCAGTGCTGAACAATTTAGCTGATCATTTATCATAATAAAGGATCTAATTATCATAAAGGATCTAAGACCACAAAAGAATCCTAATGGTCATTCCAGAAGTGGTATTCAATGCTAGACATTAACTTGAAAAAATGAACAGAAAGAAAAAGGAAAAAATAAAATCAAAGCGCTAAAGAAGAGTAATACATTATTTTTAGTGTTATTTAGTATTTGAGCTAAATCAAAGTTAAATCGTCCTGACTGATTAACAGTAGCGCCAGCTCCATAGAGTTCTAACACATTAAACACTATTTGAAAATTTCGGATAGATTCTTTGGGTATGGGGAGGAGACTTAGGATCTCAATCTAAAAACTAATCACTGTCCTCATATTACTCACTTTAAGTTATATCTCTCACTGATCACCTTCTGAAATGCTTCAGTTTCCAAACAACCGATACTGATTAGCTTTAAATGTGCTACATATGCTTAGAAACAGCAAACATCACAACCATTTTATAAATATATATTACATATAAATATATATTATAGTGAGGGCAGCAGAAAGACAGATGCATGGATCCTCTTCCTTAGAAATACTGTTGCTGGTTTTGTTATCAGTGTGTGGGATACGTGTGTGTGTTTCTGCGCATGCACACAAATGTCTGATTACCTACATCAATGTATACAAAATTTATTATAATGAAATGAATGAAAGTCATTCTTTGACAAGAACAAACTCACTTTCACATGAAGCTTGTGTGAATTCAGTATGTCACTGGAATTTAAATGTTTTACAGTTTGTCTACCTTTTATCTGTTACCTACCAATAGCATCACACTGTTTTTTATAAAAGGCTTCTGAAAAATAATTGGGAAATTAAAAGCTATCAACATACTGGACTAACAGTTTCTGGAATATTTTCTAGACTTTCAGAACACACAACTTCTCCAGTAACGATACAACACATTATGAAGTTGGCTCTAAAGTAATGATTTCTTTATTTAAAAGTTCTGAAAAAGAATCCATACCACTACAAAGTTAAAATAAGAGCTGAAGAGAGATAAATCAGATAATATTAAGAAGTAATAAAATGCCAGTTGCATAAAGCAGTATTAGCATATGCTTTTATTAAAATGGCTATGACTCAAAGTTGAGGAAAAAATACTGTTTCTGTTTTGGTGATACTGGATTAAATTTATGCTGAAAATTTTAGAAGGTAACTGAACTGATCTGTATGATTACAACTATTTAGCATAATGTAAAACATATTTAGCATAATGCAAAACAAAGCAAATATGCATTAAAGAAATCCATAGCTGAGAGGTCTTGTCTGTGAATTTTTAGAGGTGCATTTTGTTCCTTCCATCTCTCACAGCCTGTTGACTAACAGCCAGAACCTGGATACTAAATTAAATCCATAGTTCCTACTTGTAGGAACTTTTTGACAATGACAGCCTCTGCAACTGCGGCCCCAGGAAGACGCTAAATGTTATCTACAAGAAGAGAGCACAGTGCAAAAGCGTACAGAGACCACACGTTGTTTAGATCTCCTCACTACGCCAGTGTAGACCATACGCTTTTAAGATAGGATTCATCTCATCTCACTTGGGGTATCTATAGCGCAAGTGTCTACCTCCAGGTTTGGTATCTCTGGTTCCACTACAGTCTACAGATACCTAATTAAAATAATCAATAGAGTCTAGGCAGAAATTAATCTCAAGCTAAACAGAAAAGCCGTATCTGGCCAGGTCAATGACCTCTACGGTACATTGACTAGATCAGCCTTGCAGGAAGAAAAGACAGGATTTTGCTACGGTGAATAAAGATACCCTCTATGGATGCTGCAGCACCCTGACAGTCACTGTTAATTCTCACTAATTCCAGCTCCCAGACATACTGAGTCCGTGTCTCCCTACCAGGGTAATTTCTGGCCAGACACACAATACTTCTGGAACAGAGCATTAACTAGACTAATACTCTGCATATATTATTATGATCCCCACAGTGAGGCTATGAATTATCTCCTTGTACCCCAAATGAAATTGTCAGACAGGAGACTTCAAGCTGTGCAGAAGCACTGCCTAGCATGTGTTGCAGGCAGGCTGATGACATGGGATAAATACATGCCTTAAATATACATGACTGTTTGAAGGGACGCAGGGTTATGGGCTCTCTCTGCCATCTGTTTCCTGCCAAAAAGCAACTGGTTTATGTGCCCCAGAGCTTACATCCCCTACAGGTTGACAGATGCTGATTTAAGTCCTCAAACTGATCCTTGACTCTTAAGCGGGAAGCAGATCCAGTCAATGGTACCCAAACATCCTCAGGATCCCACAGCCATGCAAAATTTGTTTCGTACATCATCACTGCTTCTAACAAAGCAGCAAGCCTTGTGCTTTTCAGATTCACCTGCAATCAGTCATCAAGCAAACAAACTTACAGATAAAATTAAGTTTGTTATGGCAAAGCTAGGGGTTTAATTTTTTGTTACAAAGACAGAAAACAATTACAGGGGGAAAAAAAAAAAAATGAACCCCCCCTTCCCAAACCTAGCATGTTAGGACATACAAGTATTGAATCTTATTGCCAGTTGTCATTTAAGATCTCTGAATACATTTTGCCTATGGAAATAGGAGAAGTATCTCAGTAACACCCCGCCATTCCAAATGCTACCTTTCACCATCAACCCACTTCTCTGGGTTCAGAGAATAATTAGAGTGCATCCCTAAGTATATCCTATGGGATTTCCTGGTTTCTACAGAAACGTCAACATATATTTAAGAAATCTTGGTTTCCATTTTAAGTTAGCAACATTCACTAAATTGCAGCTTTGTTTAGGTGCAGCTGTTCAGGTATCTTGGAACTGCGTTGCCTTGGCTATACAGAGAGTTCTTTGGAATGCTCATTCAGCATCATTATTTCACCTCCCGCTTAAGAAGTTAACAGATCCCTTCCCTTTTCAGACAGCCTGATACATATTATTTAGAAAATATTGCAAGGTCAATATTTTCTTAATGTACTCCAACAGAAAAACAGCTGTGATAGTCTTATAGCATCTAGTATTTCTGCAATATTTTAGAGATCACATAGGGTCCAGGAATTGGACAGTTAGGCACATAATCTCCAACTCTCCTATCCAATCCTATCAGTTCTGAGACAGCATCACAGTCGTGTTATACATTTACATAATCTTACTGCTGAAAAGACTCCTCATGATCACATTATCTTCTATGTTTTCATGAGAGGGAAGTTAAGACCTAGAAAATTCTATACTAAAGCCATGAAACAAACTCATAGCAGCTATATTCTGATCCTGCACTTCAACGGAAATCACTGAAAAACATTTCTGATTTGACTTGCTACAATACTCATTCACGCTAGTTACATATAAAATTTACTTATACATAAAATTCAGTTATATATAAAATTCATTATATTTTGCAGTGATTTAAAACCAATAGAGACCAATAAATACCTAGCCACTTAATGAATGTGAATGGACGATCCAGAAATGTGCCACTGACACAATGAGTGACTTGAGTTAGTGCACCTGCAAAGTATTAAAGGTCAAAGTTTGTACCTACCTCTTTTTGATACACTATTCCAGCTTCAAAAAGCTTAAGAAAGAGATATTGTGTCCATTTGTAGTACTCTGGTAAGCAAGTGGTTATTTCCTGCAGAAATGAAACCAAACAAAAAATCCTGAAGGTATTCTCAGCGTTTTCTTACAGTGTTTTAACTTAAACAATTAACTCAAGAGTGTATAATATGTGCCATAGAGAAAACATCAATGCAATTTTGGGTAATGTTTATAATGAATGATACTCACCTGTACACAAACCCAGACAACAGGGGCTTTGTGTGGGTTTGACGTGCAAAGAAAAGTTTCGCTGTTAACATGGAATATCAGAACCCTGTGAAATCAATGCTGACAGATATAAGAACCGAGGATGAATGGATATGATCATAGCTGCCTGGCCAAGTAAAGAGGAAAACTAGAAGGAAGAACTCCATCAAAGAAGGCATCTTAGCCAGGTTGCCTTTTCCTCTGTTGCTCGGCAATGAAAAGCAGGAGCAGAGCCTGTGGACGGCTGAGAGGCAGCGGGGAGTGGGCTGCAGGGAAGCCCACAGTCCGGTGGAGCCCGCGCTGAAGCAGGGGACGCGGGAGGACAGCAGAACAGCACCAAGGAACCGAGGCTGCTGACAGATAGGGCGCACGGGGCAGACAGGACGGAACACAGGCTAAAGCTCTACACTTCAAGATGAAAGGCTTGCGAAGGATACCCCACAATCAAAGGTCAAACAAGCGACCATTTTAAAAGGCAAGACAGGTCTCGTTAAGAGAATGCTCTGGGTTAACGTGTGGAGAAAAAGATGGAGTCGTGAAAGAAGTTACAAATGAGAGGGATTGTTGAGAGAGAAATAAAGACAGATAAAAATAAAAGACAACATAAGAAAAAGGAATGGAAGCTAAGAGAATAGCAGGTAACAATGTAATGGATAGCTTTTTTTAACTTGCAAACATTTTCTAAGCTTTTAGTAAACTCTAATACTTAACCAACATACTCATCACCTTCTTAGAGTTACATATTTTAAATGTTTGTTCTTATAAAAAACAAACTGTATTGCAAATAAACATCTCAATATGTAAAGATGACTATAGGAATACACAATTCTGGACTCCAAACTGTCTCTACACACACCGTGTTCTACAGGCACAATGCACGCACATACACTTTTACCCACGTCTTTTAAAGTTTGGTCAAAGCGAAAACAACTGTGTAACTCGGTATTTAAGCTCTAATTACATCATAAATATGTAACAATAAACAGATCACATTTCCCTCCTGAACGGCTTTCCTGTTTAACTTCCACTCGTTTAAAGAAGAAACATTCCTACTAACTTTGTTTGACCACATTTGTACTTCTTGAGGTGGAAGATGACTCCTATGCTGAACTTCAAGTCAACAAGAACTTCTCTTGATTTCAGAGTTACAGGGTTGACAGCAAGCCACTGACAAAATTTATTCTGTCTGCAAATAGTTATCAACTACCTGAAACACACTCCAAACATGAAAGATCTTTCATCCAGGCTTTCCTATCATCTAAGCTTCCCACTACACACAACATCAGCAGTATCATCTGCTACTCAAACGACATCTGAAACACTCTACCATAAAAACTTTATTCTTCTTCTACAGTTTTATATTCCAGTACTGAAATGTTGCTTTGAACAATGAATATGACCTTTGAACAGATATGCCTCTAAAGTGCGTATAAGAGGCTTTCAAGACCAGAAAGAGACATTTCATGGCAAGTTTTCAGCACAGCATGTGAGGACTTAGCCATGAAAAACAGCTGCTTGATTAAATCCCTGTGCTCTGCACTGAAAAAAACACTTGATAAAAGTCTGATTTCATCTCTCCAACTAAACATTATCCATTTAATAATTTCCCCCCCCACTTCTCCACAAAGCGGAGTTGCTCTGCCAGTGTGATGCCACTACAGGGCAACAGAGCTTCATTGCTGTGGTATCAGAGACACAAAAGCAGAGAGACAATCCCTTTTGGTACAATACAAGATTATGTGAGCAACAGGCAAACAGGTCAGACAACTGAAGAGAGTTGTCAGATAAAAATAGTAAAATAGACCAATATTTGTCCTTTTGGCCCTGAATGGCAGATGTGCGTTAACTGAAACAAAAAGAGATGATGTTGCTCAGCCTGAACAGCCATGTTTAGGACACAGTACAAGCTAACCCCTCGGAACAGATTCTCACGTCCATGCTCTCTCACAAGCTGTAAATTCACATTTTTTAGAAAGAAATGAGGCAGACTCTTATCGCTGAAGAAAATTTGTTGTGTGGTCACGGAGCTGCAAAAAGATCACTCGAGCTGATCATTTAACTTTAGAACCATGAAGGTTTGAAGTAACATTTGAAGCTAATGAATAAAGAGAAATTACATCACCACCAAGTGAAATGAGCCGCTGCTGACAAGCCAGCAACTTCTTGTCAATCTCAAGATGTGTTTTGGCTTTTTTCCTACCACTTAGCACATTAAGACTTGTAGTGAAAAATAATTTTCCATGTATGTCAGTTACTGATCTTGATTAAATAAGTAATGTCTGTTAAAAAGTTTCCATTAGGCTGCTATCATGCTTAAATTAAGGTGAATGTTAACAATTCTATTTATACTTTATGACCATGGCAAAGATTTGCAGTGCATTAACAGGACTTAACTCAGAAATACAGACAAGTGTTTATAAAAGGCTTGGCAAAACAGCACAATAGACCCCTTCCACCCTGCCAAAAATGTAACTTTATGCTTCTCATTTATGAGCTGAGCACCAGCGTAACAGCAACATAGAGAGCCCCATGTCATAAAGCAGTTCAGTGAATATATATAAACAGGATGCCAGCATATTTTCTCCAAAGATAAAATATATACTAAAAATCAGAACCCTTTTACAAATATGAAATATGCTGCTCAGCTGTCCACTGCACGTGCTTTTCAGTTCTCTGTGTCACATTTAGTGCTAACCCATCAGCCCAGCATTGCAGAAAGTACCATGAAACGGGAGTGACAGCATATCCCTCTTCCCCCCCAACTATTTTCCCTTTTCCTTTGTCAGCTTGCTAGTTAAAAAGAGTATCTGATACTGTCACCAAAATGCATCTTTATCTTTGGCTACTGTTACTGCTCCCAATTCCTACAGGAGTAACACTCATTCCTTAAAACAATTCATTAAAACAATTAAAACAAACCACCTTTAAAAGCAGTCTGCTTTTAAAAATAGCAGATATTGCCAAGGTATAGAAGAGAAAGACCCCTACCCTTACCAAAAACTACCTTGCTTAGTCCCTTTATCACAGCACAGCAATCTGTTCCTAACAAATAGCATGATGGAGGGGTTAGATTCTTATTTATTTTTGCAAATAAATTCTCTGTTACACACTAAACAGAGGTATTACACCTTAGATTTGACAAGTGTGACTTGGGAAGCAACTGGTTCATGTTAAGGTTAAAGAGCCATTCATTATTAAAAAATCTGATAAAAAAACTACAGCTACCAAAAATATCGTAAAACCAACAGTAAAGAATCCTGGATAAACAAAAAAACCCCAAACTAGATGGAAGATTTTTGGTCATTAATAAAAGAAAAACTAATTTTCAAATGCCTTGTTTTATAATTCAATATTTGTTCTAAATCTGATCCTTTCTTACAACTTTTATGTAGTTCTGAACACAAAACTGGATTTTGTTTGTTTTTTAAGAAGGTTACATCTTCAAGTTATTTTCATGGTTATTTTTTTTAAATAAAAATAACGTTTACAGGCTGCTTGAAGTGATTATTTGTTATGAGATCCACCAGGCTTTGTGAATAACCTATAACTAGACCAGAGAGAAGTCACTTCCTAGTTTATCACTAATAATTTTATTTCTAGCGTAGTCATACACTACCCTGAAGACAGTCATGTTGCACTTGATACTTATTAAAAAGGTGATAGGGACAAAAACTCTGAACGGAATTTTTCAAAATCTATTTGAACAGACTAAACAGTCTTTAATCTATTATTTGCCTATTTTGGTATTAAGGGGCATGTACTATCTCGCCTGGAAGTATAATCATTTGATTTTCAGAAGTTTAGAGCTAGATCAAAATACATTTCTACATTCATTTGAATATTTGTATTTCAGAGGCCCTTATTTTCATGATTTATTAGCTACAAACATAAACATCATCCAGTGCCTACATTTCAGAGCATGAATATCTTTCCTGCAGAAAAGTAGCCTGGTATCAACGGTTTCCTTTTTTATCTAATTACAAGTAGGGCGACTGATTATCAGCGATATGTGGAGAAAAAGAAAATTTAATAGGTAATGCCCTATCTACTGTTACAGTTTTACACACACTTAGGCAGTGCACCAGAAAGACAACTTCAAAACTAAATAAAAAAATATCTGCACAAAATAAATCTAGCAAAGCTTTAATCTTTTTTAATGTACAGAGCAGAAAGGGAACATTACTCTTATGCAAAAAAATTATGTCACTTGGAATGCATGAATTGAAAAGACTAAAAAACATTGGCAGAACAAGCTACCTTCTAGAAGAAAGTTACAGATTGATAGTACAGTGGTGAACTGATGGCTTACTGGGAACATGCGTTCAGTCTGATGGCACTCCTCAGCAAAAGAAAGGAAAAATGTTATATGCTCTCCATCCCTCGTTGCCGATGATATGAATCTCTGAACACAATACTGCCTAATTCCCCTGAAAATCATGTTTCGGAGAAGTGGCAGGCAGTTGTTATGCTGTCTGGGATGGTATTTTGGAGAAATCGGATCACCAGGAACGCCCAAATTATTGTTATCTTAAAAATAAAACATAACCACAATGTTGTATTTTGTTTTCCAGGTGTTTTTAATGTCTCTCAGAGACATCTTCCATCCCCAAACTGAAGCTTTTTAACCCTGGATCTGACAAATATAAATGTTCAGAATAGAAATATTCTCTCTCATTTTTTAAAATCTCTCCCCCAAATCACATCATTTTCAAAGCGACTTAAAAATATAACATTTATTACATCAGGCACTTAAAACAACTACACATTTCAGTAAAAAATTGTCAGATCACTATTAGTATTCAAAACTACTCTAAAGCAAAGTACTTACAGAGCTGTTTCATGCATTTAATTACATTTTTAGTTTGGTTACATTTTCCATTTAGGAGAATAATTTTCAAGTACCTTTGTAACCTGGCTTTCTGAAATAATGTAATTAGCTTTTATGTGGTGCCTTACTGGTTAAGTAATTTCACTGACTGCTACAACATAAAAATACTGTTACATATTGATTTGTAAGACAGAGAGAACAAGGAAAAAAAACCTCAGGTTAAGTAAAAGGAAACTTCTAGTATGCCAGGTGCACTGGAATTAGTTCATACTAATTTTACCAAGCAATAAAACTACAACTAGTCTTCATATTCCTGGACACTACTTTCTTGAGCTCCAGACATGACTTTATAAGCAGTCAGCTTCTTCAGCTCAGCTACATACACTAGGTATTCAAAATGTCCTTTTTATTATTTTCCCCTTTAACACTTGCAAAATGGTAAAACTTACCTAAGCTTCCTTCACACCATCTAGGCATATACTCTAAGCTTGCCACAGAGAACAGAGACAGTTAACATAAAAGGTTCGCACTTTACAAAGGCAATTCACCGCACACTAAAATAGGGATCTAAGATACAGGAACGCACTCCCTCCAGCATGTATTTGCGAGGTACTATGCTCTAGCACAATGAAGGAGCACATTTAAGCAACACAAATTAAATTAAAAACAAACTCCTGTTTTGTACAATAGTTTTGGTTAATTAGACTAACCCATATTAAAAGTGGTTTTCCTGCATTTTTCATAGGAGTCACTAACACTACTGGGCTTGTTTGCATTGTCACTGTATTTTGTAAGCCACTGATTTCGTGCCATACAAGTACAGAATAATAAAAAAAGCATATTCCTTACCCCAAAGCACTCACTTTTAAGGTAAGTACCTGCACAGCGCAGTGCACTGCTGTGCAAAGATGCCTGAATTCGCCCAGAAGCAGTGCAGCTGAGGCAGGGAGATGCTCTGCCCAGCCTAATTAGCCTTGCAGAGAAGCAGGGTTTATCAGCCTGGAAAACAGAGTCTGCTACAGCTTAGCCATTCCTCTTCCAGAGGTAGTTCTTTCACAGCTAGATCAAATTTCCGTGCATTTGGAGATCATGTAATACAGATATATTTCAGGCATCATACATTTTTTGCAATGAATAAAAGTATCTATTTCTAATGGTTACCATCCAGGTCACTCTTACTCCAGTTAATAAGTCAGGCTTTCTAGGTAAAATAAAACTTAACTAATAAGCTAAGGAGTGAAAACTCCAAAATTCATTGTGTTTCAAGGAACACTTTTCAGCCGTTCTAAAATCTTACCTTTCAAAAACACAAACTATGTGCCCCTAGACCATTCTAAAGTATTTCAATTTCAACTGTTCAAATGGACTCAGTTGCAGGGTATCAAAGCCCTTTCCACAAGTATCCAGAGACTTCTGAAAGTTCATTAACCAAAACATGGTTTACTAGAAAAGTGAAGATAAGCCTCAAAGAGCAGGCAGAGAGATGAAAAATGCCTTTTCCCCCTGAGTACTTAATACTTCCTCTGATGGTTTTCAGTACTGTCAGTTCTCCACCTCTTATTCAGAATGGGAGGGTTAATCAAAAGTCCATATACAGAGGCGAATTCTCTCAGTTTTCCTGAAAGGCAATCTGCAAAATTCAATTTTTGCATGTTCCATAATACAGCCTACACCTACGATTTACTATGATTTAGTTTTAAATACAAGAAAATAATTGTCAAGCATCTGTGCAGTGAACCTTCCACGACAAATCTTTTAATTTCAGAGCAACTTTTTGGCTACCAAGAAAACTAAGATCTTACTAAAAAGGCTTATACAGAAAAAATCTTGTCATACACACGACATGATGAAATATGGTTTCTTAGATGTAAGCCATACAAATAAACAACTTCACCTTCAAGATTAAAGAAAACAGATGGCAGGTCTCAGACTGCCAGAAAACTAATCCTTTTCGGATCTACAATACTGCTACAAAAATCCCAGATTAGCATCTCCATCACTCTATTCAGAATCATATTAAACTGATAAGCAACAGTTATTGCTGGAAATATAAAGGTAGTGACTGACTGATTCACTGGTAAATGCCATAACCTTACAATTGCTTCAAAAATTAGTTTCTTTTTTATCTCGAAAATGACATTACCTTATGTCTGAATGTGTTTGGTAACATTTTTAAGGCGAAAATCTGATTCTCAAGCATTACTGCTTTAAATAAAATTTCTATTTTCCAAAACAGTCATGACATGAACACCTACGAAAATGCAGGCTTGTACTTCAAATTTAGAATAACATAACCAGACCACCATTTCAAGTTACTAGCTTTAAACCCTTCAGTATATTCTAAAAACATACACATTGAAAAAAGCACTCCTCAAAACATATATACCTTAACACACAGGCACGCTGTTTCATAAATTTCTATTTAGACTTTTGCCTAACTTCTAACACAGAAGATTGCTACTTCGAAAGAGCTGAAAAAGCAGAGAGAAAAATCCAAATGCAAAACTGAAATCACTTTGAAGAAAAGAAAGATTCTCCTAATCTTATCAGATGGTATCAGTCTGTCAAAAGTGAGAGAAATCTAATAAAAAGCTTGAGAAGCTCAATTATACAGTTTAACAGCTTAAACTGGTCACTTTCAAAGAATTATATATTGTCATAAATAAAATGGTGAAATTCCATGGTTTTCGATGTTCCATCATACAATAAAATAAAGCAGCATCCCTTAAAAAAGAAAATCTTACCCTTTCCCATGTAAAAGACAGACCTAGTGCATCAAACTGTTTCCTCATGTGTTGAATATTACTGCAAAATAAAATAAAATAATTAACAAAATATTTTATCATGTGATCATATTTGAAATCAGGTGCTTATAAAGTTCTGAGAAATCAAAAGCATTAGTTAACCTCTAAACACTATCATCTCATTAGCAGTCAAACTCAAGGAACTGGCAGAATAATCATCTTTAATAATTTTAAAAGTCCCTAGTGTATTCTATTTCAATGTCTATGTATACAATTTTTCTTCTCTTGATTTGAGCATAACTGAAAAGCAAATATGGCACTGCAGTTTAAAGGACACATTCCTGAAGCATCACTTCTCAATGTTTTTAATTACCTTTACTACAGCTGGGCCAAAGGGCCCTCTGATATCTTCATGATGTAGTAGGATGCACTTTCATTGCCAGCTTAATCCTGCTCTATTCTGGCAATGCTAGCCCGGCTGTATTTTGATTTGGCTCTTCTGACCATGTGGCTCTAGGAGGAGTTGAATCAGCTTACCCACTCCACTGCAGACACGCCCTACAAAACAGGCTCCAAAAAACACCCCACCAGTTCTCCTGCTTCCTTCTGATCAACAGGCTGATCGAACCAGGACTGTGGCCACAAAACCAGCTGAGCCGACACAAAGGAGGCGGTGGGAACATACACCCTGGGAGGAGACAGCCCAGCCATAGCTAAACTTCAGTCAACTGCGAAACTATAGGGCTAGACCTTGCCCCAGATGGATTATACTAAAAATGTAACAGAAGATACGTCAGAATATACAGTGAAGGTTTAGTCTGAAAATGTACTAAACACGGTTTACCAAAATACCCACAACCACAGAATATTAACCAGTGACCGCGTGTGAATTCGTTCATATACTTTAGAATTGTTTAAAATTTCCTACGGACTTTTACCTTACTATTAAGATGCATTATGTCAGACAAAGTATCTTCTTTCCTCCCACAGCGGTAATGTGACAGTCATGAAACCAAGCATTTAATTCTGATCCAGAACAAACTTGCACTGCGGAATAAATGAGTAACGCCGCTACCCAGTGTTAACAGTCGCAGAGCCCCAGTCATGCCAGAAAAGGTCTGCCTTCTCTAGTAAGGTACCTTTCCTGGTATACCAGGAACTCCTCTTACGGACTCACAGCTTCCACTGGGAGAAACCATAACTTTCAGCAGTACTGCTTGTATGTAAGTCCCACTCAAAATGAACTGTACCAATAAAAAAAAGTCTCAAATTTGAGTGTATTTTCACAAAACTTCTGCCACTATATTAACTCTTACTAACAAAAATTTCTGTGTGTTTTGTATAAGTAACTCTGTCTCCAATTTGGTTTATGCCTTTTTCCTAACTTTGAGAATATAAGAAGTAATAGTCAATTTGAGTTCATTTTAAATCACCTCTTCAGAAATTCAGGATGCTCTGAAATTGGGTTGCTCGCTCCTAAAATCAGCTGGAATGCTTACAGTGTGCCCCCTTTCACAGGGGTGGCTGGCTCTGTGCTAGGGATGACTAAAGCCTGTCAGGCTGCTGTCACACCATCACAGCTCCATGTTTGGTTCAGTCACCCCTGCTGCAGGCGTGAGAAACGTTCAGGACAGGGACAGTGAAGAAAACAGGAGACAGCAATTATTTCATTGTAATTAAATTTGAACTGCCTGTATGATGCATCAACTCCCTTACTTAGCATAATCAAAAAAACTGGGTATGGAAATAATTTTCCTGTTTAGATGTTCTTATCATTAGTCTCACTGACAATGTGCTAACTTTTCTCAGTTTGTTGTTATCTAACTCCTAAAACTCGACAACCACTCATTTCAGTACTAAGGAAATTTTCATAGCAAAATTTTCATCCAGTATAAAACATCTCATGACAACAAGCTGAACTGCTTTAAGTTAACAATCTGCACCTATTTAGAAGAAAAGAGAAAAACAGAACAGCACAGAAAGCAGCAGCAGAGAATGAGCTCGGGCTGCATCCTGCCACACGCTTTTTGGTATGACCTAGACAACCTGCTCAGGTGAGAGAGGCTGAGCTGACACGGTTCTTTGCTGTCTCACAGTCTCTTGGCCTTTCTTTTGGACCAATTCAACTCAGGTGGCAGAACGCCTTTCTGCTGGGTTGGCAACCTGAGCCAGTTCAACAAGATGTCCTACAAGTACCAAAGCTAGCATAGTAGGTGAGTAAAGAGAAGGGGGAAACACTAACCCCTTTGTAGTCAGCAAGTATGTAATGCCAGCCTCATCGTCTCAAAACGACAACCTTCACTTCTCCGTGCCTCGTTTGTCGTGTAGGCAAGGATCACAGTAACGCTGTATCTGGTGAAGGTTCCAGCAAGATAACTGAGGTAAAAGCAAGGCGCTTGGATATAACACATACATTGATTTGGTTTACAGCGGAGCTTCAGTAGGCTCATTGAAGGAAGACAGAAATCACCTTACTGACCATGCTACAGTATAATTGATAGCCCACAACACACGGTGCACAGTGATTTTTCAGACTCTCTCTCAAGAACAAAACCAGGTTTTTGTGTCTTGAAGGTATCTGGTTCTCATGCACATTCTTATCTAAACAGCACATGAATGAAATTTTTAAAAATTAGCATAACTCCCAATGTGTGTAGTGCGCTCACGCATTCTCCCTAAATGAAATCAGTTGCCATCATATTTTAGTTGAAAAAGTATCAAGTATCTTAACATGGGACCAGAAGCATGACAACAAACTTGAAAGAAACAGCATTATTAAAAAAGGAAACGGATCGAGGTCCAAAAAGACACCACAGCTACATCCAGAGCACAACAACCAGCTTCACTTAAGAAGATTGGTTTCTGAGTCATTTATAGAAATTAATGTTTACTTACACAACTTCCTACTCATTTGAATAAATATTAGGGGAATACAACATCCAATTCAGTGGTCTAAAGCCCAAAATCTTCACAGAAATCAGCAGCAATAATGGCAGCTTATCAGTTTCCAAGACCCAGTCCCAAATGAAAAAAAACTATCTTCTTGCTGCTTCACATGGTAATGAAACCTGCTAGAAAATCTAACCAAGTAGCTCATAATGTTCAACTGTGTATTCCATACTAAGATTTAGCTCATCACAATGAAATTCTGATTTATGTTTTAACCACTGATTTGCGTGTTTGGGAAATATCCCTCTTTCAGCATTCTACCTTTTTATAAGTTAAAAGTCACTGAGATTAAAACCTTGAAAATCATCCTGATACATTTATTTTTCAAAACTGAATCATCTGCACAATCCCACAAAATATTGGCAAATAACCCTGGTTCTTTCTGTACTGTCTTCTACACTGGTTTTGCTCTGTTCTGTTGGTCTGTGGGGCCACAGTACAGGTATTCACAGTGGAAATGTCACATTACTTAAATTCATTTAAAATTACCTTCGTGTCCAGCTTGCAGGGTGAAGCCCATGTTCAACTGCAGCGTTTTCTGCTGGTAAACCAAACGCGTCCCATCCCATTGGATTTATCACCTGTCAGCAAAAAGGGAAAACACAATCTTACGGAACTTTCTGGAATGGCACCAGCAACACACACACACACACACACACACTCCAAATAATGGACGGTGTTTTGCATTTCAGCATCTGCTTTGTCTGAATTGAACCTCTTCAAAACATGACAACTATGGCTAGGTCTGTTTCAAAAGATGAAGCATACTTGCTATCTACAATGTGATGTTAGAGGGAGCTCAAAGTATTTTGTGATCAGTCCTCACGACTATTTCAATACCAGGCTGACCATGAGAAAAATCAATCCTTTGTGAATTTGTGTGGTGGTCAAAATTAGCAGTGGATGTTACTACCAAACAGAATCAAATACTCATTCTAAAGAATGAGAATAAAGCAAGCAAAACACGGTTTTATAACTGCACCTGATGTGCAGCCTAGTATTTTTTTTACTTTTGTTGAACAAGAAAAATGAAAAATACCCTATAATAACCTTATTTCCATTAGATAAAACAAAGAGGATGCGAAGAACTGCTCTAGTCAAATTTTATTAAAATATCTCCTGTACATATAGACTACAGACTGACAAATTGTATTTCATGACCACAAATGAAGGTGGAAAAAATGTTTACTACAAAATATAAAGAATAATTTCTGTTGAAATAGATATATATCTTTCCTACTAACATTCAAATTATTTAGAAAAACAATCTAGCAATACAGTAAGTATTCAAAAAACCTGTTTAATAACCAAGGAAAGAAAGGCCAGTACTTAAGACGCTGTCATTAAACACATATATTGAATACCTGATAAAATTAATCCGATTTCTTACACCTACAAATGTGCTGCAAATTCAGTAATTATGATTAAAGTTACACAAGTTTAACAACAGCAAAACATGACTGAGTAACATTTTACAGGTTGTAAGAAATCAACATTTTCACCCCTTAAACCATGTATTTATATAAATAATTTGTTCTTTAGAGGCACATAAGCAACCAAGCAGTAAGAAAGCAAGTCCAGCAATACTAATCTCATAAGATATCTCCATGGGAAAAATGTGTTAGTTCTGGAAGCGTAAGAGCTACTTTTGTCAGTGGTTTGAATTATTTTTATTCTTCTTTGTCACAACCTTCCAGTCACCGAACTTCAATGCATTCTTCCATAAAAAATATTTTATAGACATGTTTATAAAGGTGCCCTAGGCACCACCTCAGCATAAAAGCAACAGGATTTAACAGATGTGACTCCTCAGCATTCTTGTTTTCAATACGGAGCTAAAACTAAACCTGCTGTATCTCATTAGCCTGCTGGTGCAGCAACAAAACCACAGGCTTTAACCTGTGATCAACTGTGATTCAAGCCAGTACAGCAAGGGTCCACGCACAGCACATTTTTGATGTATAAATCTAACAGAAATTGGAACGCTATTCTGTGTTACAAATTTCCCCTAATATCAGACAGAATATTCTTCCTCATATCACAGTGTCAGAAAATAGGAGTCCTAACTCCCTACTTTCCCACATTATAAGTGTTACATAGAAAACCTCATTTGGAGCCGAAACCACTTGTCAACGCCACGTTGAAGCACATCTCTCCCCAGCCCTTCTCTCTCCCTCCCTCCACCAGCAACCAAAACTATTGGTATGAAAGAGAACAAAGAAAGGTAAGCTTTACATAAACTACAAATCTCAACAGATTTTTTTAAGGACACACTAAAATATTAGTTTCTGCAGCTCAGTTCTTTTTGACCACTACTATTGTTGATGACCTGTCTCTGGACAGAAATGATGAAATAAACCGGACTTTTTTTTAATTTATAATACATATTTATTTAAACACCCTTTGTTCAGACAAACACCCTACATTTGCAGCTCAAAAAATGCTTTCTTTTACCATAAGCTGCGCATTAAGTGAGATTAGAAAAACTACACCATTAATTTTTGTAAAATTTGGCTTCTGAAGATCTCCTGGATATAGATAGGCAGCCGAAAGCAAGGCACAATCTCATTTCTCACGCTCATGAGCAAAAGGATGGAGGAAGAACACCTTCACTACCGGCTACAGACTCCCCAGAAGGGCTGACTGATGCTCCAGACAGCTAACGTGCAGATATTTTATCACTGTACCATCAGCGCTAGCAGGAGTTATCTGCTCACACAGATCTTCCCAATTCTAGCATGTATATTAAAAATATCATACAGTGTATTAACTTATCACATTCAAAAGACAGTTCAATTTAACAACCAATAGCATTCTTCAAGTTAAAGGGCTGAAGAAGGAAGCTAATTCAAGTTTCAATCAGAAACCTGAACTTAAAGAGACATTAAAAATATCCTCAAATTAATCTCCAGGATAGATCTATTTATGTAGTTGCTATAGAGATGAATGTAACATGCACAGTGGTTTAGCAAATGATTTCAAGTTTATTGTCTCTTTTACTTCCCTACCGTGAATGGATTTGAAAGGTTTGTGAAACACATTTGTCTAAACAAAGTTCTGGGCTCCCCAGTTCAAGAAGGATGAAGAGCTACTGGAGAGAGTCCAGCGGAGGGCTACAAGGATGGTGAGGGGACTGGAACATCTCCACTACGAGGAGAGGTTGAGGGAACTGGGCTTGTTCAGCCTGAAGAAGAGAAGGCTGCGAGGGGACCTTATAAATGCCTACAAATATCTGAAGGGTGGGTGTCAGGAGGATGGGGACAAGCTCTTTTCAGTGGTGCCCAGTGACAGGACAAGGGGCAATGGGCACAAACTGAAGCACAGGAAGTTCCGTCTGAACACGAGGAAGAACTTCTTCCCTCTGAGGGTGACGGAGCACTGGAACAGGCTGCCCAGGGAGGTTGTGGAATCTCCTTCTCTACGGAGCACTGGAACAGGCTGCCCAGGGAGGTTGTGGAGTCTCCTTCTCTGGAGATATTCAAGACCCGCCTGGACAAGATCCTGTGGAGCCTACTGTAGGTGACCCTGCTTCGGCAGGGGGGTTGGACTAGATGACCCACAGAGGTCCCTTCCAACCCCTACTATTCTGTGATTCTGTGAAACAACAGGTCAGCTGCTTCTGGCTGGAACGTACGTTACGTATCTCCAGTTAAAATGCCACAGTCTCCACGCAGCACATGGCATTACATCTTAACTCTATATACTATATATATACTCTATATACAGAACTATATAGTTCTGAAAAGCACCAAAAATCTCAAGAGGCATGGAAGAGGAGAAGAAAATATATAACTAGCATGTCAGAAATTGGCACAAAGGATAAAGGAACAGTTCGACTATTCAAACAAAGAAAAAATAGGAACAAAGCCATTTTGAAGACCAAAGGGGACTCCTTGTAGGTCCCTGATGGGTTGGTGATAGGGTCTAACTAGCAGAAAACACGGCTGCTCCCTCCAGCATTACACACGAGCAGAAGAAAAAAGTCATCCACTTTCTTGACTGCTGACTTGATTGCTTCTGCCAGCAGGCTCTAAACCTTCTGCAACCGAGAGATCGATCCTGCTCACTAGAATGACCCTTCTTCCGAGCATCACTTCTCTGTACAGACATTATTATCTCCAAGCCGCAAGGAGAAAGAAAAACAAATAATGAACATATCTTGCAAGACAGGAGGCCTGCCTAAGTCTAAGGATGCCTATACCTGCTAAAAGAAGGCAGGCTATAGTTTCAGTCATTTTAGTACAGCAGAAGCCAGTACTGTCACCAAAGGCAGTTGTGCGTTTCTGGTCTTCACGATGAAGCAGACAGGTAAACTCTTCCTGGTTAAAACTACCAGGTTAGTCTTGAACACAGATTACATGAATTAAGATCCTCAGAAGTTCAGAAGAGCAGGCAGCACCAGCTATGAAAGACTGGCATTTTCCACCACTCAGCTTACTCTGCTTTGCACGGGAACATACAGTTGCAAGGAAGTGATTAATTGGTGTGGGGGGAACAAAGAGCTCGGTAACCACCACACTAACCGGTGTTCTCAGGAGCAGATTATTAAAAAGGAAAACAGCTGCATCTTGAAACATTTTAGATCCCAAAGCCAATGACTTCACATTAGCTTGAGGAATTGCTTTGGATGGTCAAAAATCTGTCACTAACGATGGCGGGAGTTCTTACCGTGACCGCGGAACGAAGTGGAGGAAGACACAGTAACTGCACTAATTCACTGCTGAGATCTCAGCTCTTCCTCTCAGCAGATTTTCATCTATTCACTGCTGCAACAATCAGCCCATCACACTGACACTGGTAGGCGAGATCAGTACTATATAATACCAAGCTGACAATGATCTCATAACACTCAGTTCTATGCTTCCATCAACATAACTAGGACAGACGATTCACTGAATTTTCCTTCATGTTTGTAAGGAAACAAAGAACTTGTTTGCTCTCCTGCTGTGCTCAGTATGTCTCAAAACTATGATCAGGGAACTGACGTATCTTTCTTACATCCAGATCGATGCATTTGAAATTTTAAGAAAGCCAGCAGAATCAGTGTCAAAAATGCCTGTAAATAAACATATTTATTTCAGAAAATGTGTGATAAAACAACCAAAAATGAAAATGAAGAGGCTCGCTGACAGATTAGCGACTTGAATCAATACAGCAAAATCTACATTCCTATAGCTAGACACAACCCCACGACACACTCGACGCAAGCTAACCAAAAAAGGCTGACAAAATCGGCAGTCCACGGTCACAGCTGCCAGAACACAGCCCTGGCTCCAGCAGCAATGCTCTGTTGCCCTCCTTGCACCGGATCTCACAATTGTGCCACCACACACAAGTGAGAGAGTAAGGACGCACGGTTGGAGAGGGGGAGAGGAACATGCTGAACATCTGATTTGTAAATCGACAGATTACAGATGCAACACATTTTAAATACAAGACCTCCAGTTGAATGCAGCCTAGATTATCTTTTAAGTGTACTAGGTAATAAATACTGTTACACAACAGCTAAAAATTACTACTACCACCAAACAGAAAAAATCCCAAGCAGACAAGGCACACCTGGAAAGAGATTACAACAAGG